CCTTCAGAATGTCTTGTCTTGCGCCTGGCTGGGCCGACAGGCAGCTGTCCTAACACACTTCGGGCGACATCGCAACCCCCCCGAAGACGGCTGGCCGAACGTCTTCAAGGGGGTTGCGATTTTTGTGGCCTGGTCACGGGTCAATCATTAGTTGTTCCTACGAAGCTTACCTGATATCAGTCACTCAGTTTTATGATGAATGCACCCCAAAAAAGCCGTCAAGGGCTCAAGGATTTTTATTGCTTTACAATGTTGGCTGGCTTAGGCGGCCATGCAATGCAAGAGAATTGTCAATAGCCCGCTTTCTGGGCCATGCGCCAGCTGACGACAGCTGGCCAAGCGAGATCTCTCGGTTAGCCAGACTTTAAAGCGCCTACCATAAAAACTATTGCGCCGCCTGGCAACCCTGATTGTGCAAATCAAGCGCTCCGATTGCGCTCAGCTGGCGCGCTGCCCAATGCTCGAGTGCGAATTCCGAGTCGTAAAAGGGGCCAGAGTTGCGTAAATTGAATAAACACCGCCACTGTTGCCTATGATATCTAGCTAAAGTAGTGTACGTACATACATACATACATATATGCAAATATATGATTATTATTATTACTATATTAGTGTTGTGGTTAAGCCCAGAGTGCAGAGTGCTGCTGCTGCTGTAACAACCCCCTCGTTTCACTAAACGATCTGCTGCGATCTGCTCTTGCTGCATAAGGAGCGCAAAGTTTTTGGCCAACTTTTTCCCACGAGAAAACTCAATAAAAGTCATGAGCTGGCAGAATTGATGAAAGAACAGAGAAACGAAACAGACGAGACTCATCACACATATGGGCGTCAGTGGCAGTGGCAGTCGGACTCATGCATGTGCCTCAATGTGGATCATTTCGTCTGGTCAGAGTCAAACGTGACGATCGCCTCAGTCACACACACACACACACACACACACTCATGCGCAGTCTGTTGTCCCGGCTTGAGAAAATGAAATTCTATAACAAAAAATCAAAGTTCAATATCAGCCCCAAATCGCCAAAAGCCAGCGTCTGAGTTACTTTGGCTTCCATTCGCCAGCTCGATCTGGGGATCAAGGTAAATGCCGTTTAGTGTGGCACGATCGCTGCGCCGATCGGTAGCCGTCGACGTCTGTCCGTATGTACTGGGGCTTCCTTATGCCTTATTTTTAGTTGCGTTTTGGCTTTCGTTTTTATGCCCCAACGCACGATTTACACATTAAAACACTTTAATTTTTATTGTATCGAGCGATTGCTTCCCTTTTTTTCGCTCTCCCTCTCGTCGCTCCTTAATCAGTGCAGCGGCAAGGTAGGAGCGGCATATGTGAGACCTTTTGCAACCTCAAATTAGTGCCTGCGGTTAGATGCACACACACATACTCATATATTTTTAGCTGAGAGTTCTTTACTTTTTTTTTGCTGTGGGAACTTCACTTATTACGATGGGGTGTGCGACACCCACACCCCAAACTCCGCTCCATATATGTATGTATATACCATAATGAGCATGAAAAATATGAAACAGTAGCAAATGTGTCGAGTGCCACGGGGGGGCGGGGCGGAGTCTCTGCTAAGATGCTAAGATATATGTTGATTTAAATGAATTTTTTGTTGATTTTTATGGCGCCTTGTTGCAGCTCAGGGGGAGACCTGAGTGAAGTGGCATTAGAAGCCCTGACAGGCGTGGAGTTCCAAATCTCCCTTGAATATTATTTTTATGAATTTGATAAATGGCCAGCGCTAGCTGGTCCAATAACTGGAAACTTTTGTGACAGATGCGGGCAGCAGCAAAGGAAATCGAAAGATGCTGCTGGGAGTACCTGGGAAACGTTTACAGAACGATCAAAAATAAGTTCCCATGGGATACCAAGATTTTGTAAGCAGTAAAAGTTGAGATATTCGTGGGTTTCAGAAATCTATTTCAATGATATATATCAAATGTAATTATATATATTTTATTGTAATTAATGTTTAGGTCTTCATATAAGGTCAAGGTGAAGTCCATTTTTTTTCGTCTAAACACAAATCACTTTAAAGTTCAGGCAAAATCATGTAAATTAAATGAGAAATGTTTTAGATTCATATAAATCAAATGAGATCCTTTCACGAGGTTAAACGATCAATCAATCCTAGTTATATATATACAAAATATATATTATAGAGTATAGAGAATTTTTGATAATAATAAAAATATCTGTATCTATATAACTTCCACTATTTCTTGATCAGTCTCAAAGACTTGCCCTAAAACTGTAAGAAAAATGTTGCCAACTCTTAGCTGTTCACTTCCATAGTGTCAAGATTTATTTGGGGTGTTGGTTGACTGTTGTAACGGCTATCCGGAGCCATTGGTCAGCTGCTCTGATGATGTGAAATGTCAAAGACATTGAGTCTCGTGCCATTTGCCGAAAGTTGGCACAGCTGCTGTTTGGCTAGGCGAACAACAATAGCCGAAGATTGGGTCCGGAGCTGGGATAACAGAACGGCGCTAAGACCTCGAGCTGACTTTCAAGGTAGATGCGTCGTTAATTGTTGCCTTTGGCTGGGCTGGCGTCTTACATAATCACGAAAGATGCGCGCCTAAGCGACAAAACAAATGGATTTGTATGAAGCGTGCCTGATACGAGGCAGCTGCCAAGGGGAAGATCAAGAAGCTGTCTGTTGAAGGGTTGCCCGAGATGCTGAAAGTATGTGTGTGTGTGTGTATGTGTGTGTGTTTGTGGAGGGGATTACCTGCTGCAGTGTAACATTTGCGGTTAGAACACACAGCAAATGCCTGAGCCAGGGGATTACGCAAATCAACATTGAAAATGTGGTTTTGCTTGTCTAAATTTAGCTTCCGATTTTACTTTTATTCGACTCAAATGATTCATTTCATTAATTGAACTAGAAGGTGTTTTATTATGATTCAAGTTAAAGTTAAAAATTGAGTAAGTTAAATAGAGATTTCTCATGATTTTTGTTTAGATGACAAACCGCCTGACGTATTGCAAAGACAAGATTTACTTAGAGTTTTAGTCATGGATTCGCATCCATTCGAATAGTCTTTTATATACTGTAGTATATAATGACTGGGATCATCAGTTATGACGAAATTCCTTGGCGAGTCTCTATGAAAGCAGGTTTTATAAATAGAGATTTCGACTCTTCAAGCTCAGAGCACAATTGTCTGCCTGGAGAATAGATTTGCCAAAGATGAATTCTTGCAAAAGTCTATTCTTTTTATTAAAAGTGAAATCAAACCAACATTTATAAATATATAAAGTGACTTTATCAATCAAATGGACGGCATATATTAACCTAGTTCCCCATTATCTAAGCAAAACTATGAAAGCAAGTTTTCTGCTTGGAGAATAGATTTGTGAAGAAAGAATTCTCTTTTATTAAAAGTGAAAAAATATATCTAAATCGACTCTATCAGTATTATAATAAGCTAGACTGTACCAAGGTACAGTCAAATCGCGCGTGTTCGAGAATCAAGCACAACTGCTACGAGTCATATCAATTCATAAATATAATAATTCCGACGCAGAGGCTAAAATTAAACTCAAGTTGGGATGTGAGAAAAAAACTTTCTCACGATCACCTTTTGGGTAGACGCGTAAAAATCCACGTGCAAAAGGGGGAAGGAACTACCACCGCCACCACCACCACCACCAACAACAACAACAGCAACGGCAGCAGCAACTGGCGACAACTGCGGAAGGAAGCTAGCATAGCCACGCAGGCGGAGTAGGACGCAGGACAAATGTATGTATGTGTGTATGTATGTGCATCGATATGTCATGGTGGTGGTTGCCAGTTGGTGAGGACGGCCCCCTCGTCGATCCTCGCGACTGCATGAGAATTTAAATTACAAACAAACAGCACAATCGTCAGCCATTGTGTGTGTGTGTGTGTGTGTGTGTATCGGCATGTAGGGACCATTGGCCGAGAGAAGGCGGCGCAGGATAACAGATGATGGTGTGGGAACCTCAGCGAGGACACAGTCGAGCATGAAGCGGGCCGTGGTTGATCTGGGGTGGGCAATTACCGAGCTCGACTCTAGGTTAACTACACGCTAATGTGCCACATTCCCACATTCGTTTGCCGCTGTCGCAGCGTCTCCTATATGACAGAGTGACTAAATAATTTTTGAAAATTAAGTTGATGCGAGTGCCCACACGCCCGCCACACATGTGTGTAGCGCAGCAATATGACAACGCTGCTCACCAATACACACACACACACCCACAGAAGCTATTCCATTGACTCAGCTTCTCTCAGAGCGGCGTGCGCTCTCTTTCCAACAACGCTCTTACTGTTGGCGATCACGCTCATGCGCAACAACGGTGTCTTGCAAAACGAAAGAAACAAAAAGTAAAAGCGTTGGTTTACAAAATGGAATTGTTTCTGTATGGCTGCATTACAAAACTGAAATAACTGGAGCGCATGTACACATTTATACACATACAGCACATGTGTCTTCAGCTATTTTTAACCGCACACACAACAAAATGATAAGAATATTTTGTTGTGCATTGATAAATTTGAGACGGGCAGCAGCGACGTCGGCAGCATTGTCAGCAGCAATATTTTGAGGCAGCTGCAGTCGGCTAAGCCTACAGAGAGTGCCACAATTTTAATGCTGGCAAGGCTGTGAGAGAGCGCGCTCTGCTATAAGCGCTGCCAACGTGGGCGCTACTTCGAAATGTTAATTTGTTTGCATGAAATTAATGAAAATTATTAATAAACTGAACATATGAGTAGTATTTATTATATTACTGAATTTTATTGTAATGCTAAAGAGTATAAAATGGGAAATTCAATGTTTTTACCTGATTTTCACTGCTGACACACTTTTGCTTGAGTCGTGTTGGCAGCACCAGCAAGCCTGCAGCGTGCCATATGCTTGTGTGTTTGTGTATTACTCATGCGCTGAGCCCTTGTGTGTGCCATATGAGTGTGTGCGTTGCTCTTTCGTCTCTTTCATGCTTGTGGGCAGCAAGCGCTCTCGCTGCAACAGCAGTCGCTTGTTTTTCGCTCACTCAATAGCACGGCCATAGCGCGTTGCTGGCGTACTTATTATTTTTTTGCGAAGAAGAGGAAGAGTAGAAGCAGTAGCAGAAGCAGCAGTGCAAAAGTTTTGTTGACACCGAAAGAAAAAGGAAAAAGGAAAAAAAAAACCCTTAAACAGACTGAGCAAAAGCAAAAAACTAGGCGTGACGATACAAAAGCGTGCAAAGTTAAAGCCCACAGTGTGTTTCGGAGACGAAAGTGAAATTCGCAAGGCGAAGCAACGCTCTGGTAAACTAAATAAAAAGACAAAAACAAAAACAAATGAATAGTCCTCGCACAAACGGCGCCATCTCAGCGCTGCCCAGCACCTTGGCACAATTGGCGTTGCGCGACAAGCAGCAAGCGGCGTCGGCGTCAGCGTCGGCATCGGCATCAAATGGCAGCGACTCCTCGATAGCAACGCAGCGTCCACAGACGCAGCCGCCCAGTGTGCCATCAGCGACAGCAGCGGCAGTCACTAAACTGCAATTGGCAGAGGCGGCGGCAGCCAGTGTGACCAGCTCAAATGGTGACTCGAACAAGCTGACGCACGACCTGCAGGAGAAGGAAGCACAGCAACAGCAGCAATTGAAGCCACAGAAACCTCCGTTGCCCGTGCGCCAGAAGCCCATGGAAATCGCTGGCTACGTGGGCTTCGCCAACCTGCCCAATCAGGTGTACCGCAAGGCGGTCAAGCGAGGCTTCGAGTTCACACTGATGGTGGTGGGCGCCAGTGGGTTGGGCAAGTCGACGCTCATCAATTCCATGTTCCTGTCGGACATCTACAACACGGAACAGTATCCGGGCCCCTCGCTGCGCAAGAAGAAGACCGTTGCGGTGGAGGCCACCAAGGTAATGCTCAAGGAGAACGGCGTCAATCTCACCCTGACCGTAGTCGATACGCCGGGCTTCGGCGATGCCGTGGACAACAGCAACTGCTGGGTGCCCATACTGGAGTATGTGGACAGCAAATACGAGGAATACTTGACGGCCGAGTCGCGTGTCTACCGCAAGACCATCTCTGATAATCGAGTGCATTGCTGTCTGTACTTCATAGCGCCATCGGGTCACGGTCTGCTGCCATTGGACATTGCCTGCATGCAGAGTCTGTCGGACAAGGTGAATCTGGTGCCGGTGATTGCCAAGGCGGACACCATGACGCCCGACGAGGTGCATCTGTTCAAGAAGCAGATACTGAACGAGATTGCTCAGCATAAGATTAAGATCTATGATTTTCCCGCCACGCTCGAGGATGCCGCCGAGGAGACAAAGGCCACACAGAGTCTGCGCAGCCGTGTCCCATTCGCGGTGGTCGGCGCCAACAGCATCATCGAGGTGGATGGCAAGAAGGTGCGGGGTCGTCGCTACCCTTGGGGTCTGGTGGAGGTGGAGAACTTGACGCATTGCGATTTTATTGCATTGAGGAACATGGTAATACGCACACATCTGCAGGATCTCAAGGATGTGACGAACAACGTTCACTATGAGAACTATCGATGTCGCAAGCTCTCCGAGCTGGGACTTGTCGACGGCAAGGCGCGGCTCTCGAACAAGAATCCGCTCACCCAGATGGAGGAGGAGAAGCGCGAGCACGAGCAGAAGATGAAGAAAATGGAGGCCGAAATGGAGCAGGTCTTTGACATGAAGGTCAAGGAGAAGATGCAGAAGCTCAAGGACTCCGAACTGGAGATGGCGCGCCGGCATGAGGAGCGCAAAAAGGCGCTCGAGCTGCAGATCCACGAGCTGGACGAGAAGCGGCGCGAGTTCGAGCGCGAGAAGAAGGAGTGGGAGGATGTGAATCATGTGACGCTGGAGGAGCTCAAGCGGCGAAGCCTCGGCGCCAACAGCAGCTCCGACAATGTGGATGCCAAGAAGGAGAAGAAGAAGAAGGGTTTGTTCTAAGTCAAGCAGCGCTAGTTTATAGTCCGGCGAAATATCCTCCTACTTAACAAAAAACAAAAAACAAAAAACGAAAAAAAAAGATATTGAAATATTAATGTACTACACTTTAAGGCCTCAAAAATCTCGAGAACAAAATACCATATAACGAATTATGAATAGCGGTACATACCAATACTATAAACAGTGCATATACATATATATATGCTGATATATATATATATATACTATATACCAATGTATCAAACAGGTCTCATCTATCGGTTCTATCTCTCCCATTCAATAGATTTCTCAGACTTTCGCTTGATGTGAAAATCTGCGAATTCGAACCATCTGACAGACCTGACATATATACGTATATATCCACTATATTCATATATATATATATGTATATACATATATGTCTAGGTATTACTTGGCTTTCGCACAGCAATCGCGCATTTGTTTTTTAGATGCATACATATTTAACAGTTATTATTATTGCAGTATTTTTACCAAAATATATAAACGAAATCAAAACAACAAAAAAAGAGAAAATACAAAAAAAAAAAGAAGAAGCGCATTAAGAACTTGACGTAACATTTTGACTAGCCTAAATGAATTGAAAGAGAACCTAAATTGTATTTACAAAATACTTAAATATCGCTTAAATAAAATAATAACTAATACAAAAACAAAATTAACAGACACATAAACGATATATCCTAAGAAAAAGAACAACAATTAATATCATCAATATCGTATGTATTGTATAATGTGTATTCTATTTACCTATTATACACCAAAAAAGTCATAATAACACACACACACACACACACAGCAGCAGCAGCAACAACAACAACAACAAATATACTCTTGCATTTTACAAAATAAAGTCTTCTTTTTAGTTTAACTACATAAAAAAGCACCATTTGGTGTTGTTTATTCAATTGCATGGCACACACACACACACACACACACACTTAATATTAAAGTAAAATATGTACATATACATATTTATATAGGCAATACAGGGTGTCTTTTATGCATGGCACGCGTCGGCCGCGAAGCATGGGAATTAGCACCGTGACGCTTCGTTTCGAAATGCCTTGGCGCTGCTGCACTCTCTGCCCGTCATATGCTGACTAATATCTGGCGTACACCTTCGGCTCCGTTTCCATAGAAATGCATATATGTTCACTGTAAAAGGCAGGTCTCCAAATGACGCAGCTTGGGAACGAGCATACAATCGAATAAGGCAATTATATACAAACTTTATTTATTTATTTATTTTTTTTTATACTATTAAGCCCCATAGAATGTTTGCGCTTGCCGGAATTGACTTATCTTTGACTCACACAATAACACAGTAAACATTTATTATAAAGAAAACGATATCTTAAGCAAGAGGTATGCCTTGCAGTAGTACGGGAAATTTTGCTCTTATCACAAGAATTTTTGCAAAGCTTGAATGACTGCGTACAACAGTAAAATATACTCGGTTCGCTCTAGTTGGTGCCCTCTGTGAAATTTATAATCACATTTGCATATTATTCAATTATCAATACATCGTTCTCATAGAATGCAATTTTCAGTGCAACAATGTGAACAATGGGAGAAGTCTACATTTTACTACAGTTCAAAACTAAATTTAAATTCTTAATCTTATTATTTTTCACTCTCCGTCTTGATTTTTAGATTCAAGGCCAACAATGTTCTGCTTCTAGTGGGATAACCAAGATGAGGGCGTAGTCACGTAGTAAAAAAAGTAAGAACTTAATGTTGAGCTCTCCATCTTATTATTTTGCACTTTCTCAGATTCAATTGGACTCAATGCCAACTAAAATTTAGCTATGGGCATAGCAAAGTATTAATTTTAAACTTTAGTCTTTATTGATAAGGTCCATACAAAACATAATACAACTAGTTCTATATTTATATTTTATGCCGAAAAAAGGCTGTTTCGCCCATAGTACACTGTGCCAAAGTTCAGCGGCACCCTTTACTGCCCACAGTTCGCTGCCAAATGCACATGTATGCAATTTCATACCACACCCTATATACATATATGCACACATACATACATACATACATATATTCAGTTGGCCAATGCATGGAGTCAATTTGACAGCGGAGGGGCCCACTTGAAATTGCTTTCTGGGGCCTAACAGGCGCAGCAGAGCCCCCAACGTATGGGTATTTAATTTATGCATAAAAATTAATCCATAACCCAATTGAAAGGCACTCAATTAATGCCGTATAAAGCGTAAAAAGAAAAGCCAACAGTGAAAGAAAGAAGCATGAAACATGGAGCGAGAGTGCGCTTAGAGTCGATTCGATTCGATTGGCAAGGAGTTGGTAAGGGGATTGCGGAGGCGTTCAGTTGCTACAAGTATATACATACACACACATATATATATTATATGTATACATAAGTGTATACACATACATATACGTATGACTGTGTGTATGTAAGTCAACAACGTTGACGCAGCACTTAAACAGCAATTGCTGGCGATCAATGAACGCAAGCAGCAGAAGCAACAACAACAACTGCGGCAACTATAGCCACAGTGGAGTTTGATGTTTTGTTATTGCTGTGTTGTTTTTAGGACGATGACTCAAATACCCAGCGAGAGACAGAAAGAGAGGGAGAGAGAGATGATACACACACGCACATACCTAAGTAAAGATGTTCATGTATGCATGCTCGGGAGCGGACGGGGGGCCGAGGTGTCTCGTGCTTGCTTAGCTTATCAGCTGAAACGGGAGCACTGCAGAATTAAGTTCATTTGACTGATGTTGTGTGCATTGCTGTGCTCACCCTGTTTTGCAACACATACATACATGTGTACATATGTTCCACACATGGGCTGGACACCCTGTAGCGTTCTCTGTCATGCCTTTTGAGCTACATTCTTGCACGTCAAATCGCGCAGAACGAAGTCTAAAATCAAAAACAAATGTTGACCGTTCTTCTAATAAGCCGGCAACCGCAACGCACACTCACACATGCACACACGCTCCTATTTCACAGACACACACGCACACGAATGCTTTTGAGAGCGAGAGAGCCATCAACGGTGGCAGCGACGCACGCTCACCCACACGATCCGAGCGCTTGACATATTTACGTGACGCCGAGAGCCAGAGAGCAGCCAATTGACCAAATCTAAGAGAATGCGCGTCGCTGTAAGCGCTGACAGTGACAGCGACGGCGACGCTGCGCCTGCGCTTCGTTTTTATTTGAAATTTCCGTTTAAAATTTCTTTGGCTTCGACTTGCTGCTGCTACGCACTCAGTTCCAGTGCTGTGGCTGCTCTCTCCCCTCTCCCCTCTCCCCACTCTCCAGTTGACATTTGACATTTTTCCATGCGGCAACGGGAAGTGATTTTTATAGGTTTGTTTGTTTGCTTGTTTTGGCTCATGGATCGTTTGCATTGCTGCCTGCTCCTCCTCCCACTCTCTTGCTCTCTCCCGCATTTAGTAACGAGGCCTCGTCAATGTCAGCGCAGATAAGGGCTCGGATCACTTTGTATATGTACATATGTATGTATTTGTTGTGTGTTTGCATGCATATATACTTATATGTATATGTATTCAATGATTTCTCAATGATTTCGTTTTATTTACAAACAAAGAAATTGGATCGTGTGGGCTCTATCAGTCAGTTTTATGCAACACTTGTGGGAATCACAGATATTGATAAAGACGCACTCCGATCGTAAATTATCGAGATCGGGACTGAGGGCCCAAGTAAATAAGCACTTGTTAAAGTTGACACGTTGTCGATGGACCGAAGGGCAGGGGTGGGGGCGAGGGTAACTGTTTGCAATGCATTTAACGAGTCGAAGCTACAATAAACGAGAAGTTTTCGGTCCATTGTAGGGGCGCCCGGTACGAATATGCGAGTGTGTGTGTGCGTGTGTGTGCGTGTGCGTGTGGTCACACATTCGAAAAGTACAATCCAAAGGACACGGAAGTTTTGGTCTCTACTTCCGCCCGAACAATAGATTCGTATTTTGAGTCCCGTAGCGGTATTTTGCTCACGCTCCCGCTCGTCCCTTGCAATTCTGTCTCTCTCTCTCACACACTCACATTCGTCCTACCTTTTATTTCCGCTGCTCGCGTGCACAACATCCGCTCTTATAGAGCGATAAACAAATATCTTTACCGCTTTGCCTTTGCGATTATTTCGTATGTTTTTTTTTTTCATTCCGCTATTGTTGTGCATTTACAGTTTCGGGAACTCTTATTGTTCCGTTCACATCCTGGGAACGGGAATGGGAATGCGAATGAAGCCATCAACAGGTGAGCAATCCGCAGCTCAGCTCGCGGAGGTGTTATAAATTTCAGATATGCATTGTTGTTGATCTTGAGTAGAGTTGATTCTCATAACTGATGAAATGTTTTGTCTTATTTGAAGAGAATTTTTCGGACGTACGCCCAAGATTACCTTAATTATTAATAGTTACACTAAACATGCAAATAATGTCATTAATTATAGATCATAGTAATATTAAACTTCGATCTTTTGTCTTAAGGGCAAACCAGATTTTTCAGACGTAAATGCAAATCTTTCGAAGACCATTTTCTCTAATCATAAGAATTAACTTTTGGGGGCTGGGTAATAGCTATATTAAGAACTTTATTATATAAAAACTTGGCTTATTTCTCGTACCCATTTCAAATAATATACATTATTTTTGTTGATTAGTAACAACTTAATGATATGATGATATGCTTTGTGTATCACATATCGTTATTTTTGCATTTTATTTATTTTGCTGACTACCGCAAATGCTGTTTTGATTGGTAATGCGAGTGGATCGATTCCGCAAGCTGTTGGAACGCTTGACATATGTTTTCAAGTACAATAACCGCATTGTAATAGAGCTTAACGGACTTTTAATTGAAATCAAAACAGGCAGACCTTTTTCTTGTGCCCCTTCCTCTTCCTCTTCCTCTTCGTATTCCCCTTGCTCATCCTCATCTTACCGAACATAATTTCAATAATTGAGCAACAGTTGTGATCGGGGACAGATTTGTGGTTGTCGAAATGACCCTGAGAACAGATTCTTTCGATTCTCATGCATTGACAGATTGATTTGGGAACCTAAGCAAAGTACTTAAAATTTGGGTCACTCGTAATTGGCCAGCTCTACACAGATTGCATAGGGGCTGACGCCGTTGCGGGCTACTGGGGGGGCTTCGGCTCTTAAAGTGACTTAAAAGTAGGTTAGGCTGCGGCTGGCGTTCGCTTGTCGTTTGGCTTGTCAGCCTTTTGTGCAGCATCTTGGCACAAGCCACCCTTTCATTTCATTATTCTTTTCTTCTTCTTCTTCTTCGTGCTCTTTTTTTTTTTTTTTTTTTTTTTTTTTTGTATTTCTGTGAATGGTGCTCATGATGTGGATGAGGATGAGCACACGTTCGGGCCCCACTCTATTCAGAGAGAGAGAGAGAGAGAGATGCAGGGCAAGCGACCCATTCATTGCTACCGACTCATAATTGATGTTCAAATTGCTGTTGAATGATGCGTTGCTGTCGAGGAAGCACTTGTCACAGTTTTGTGCCCATTTCTGGGCAGCCAGCGAGGGTTATGCAGGTTCTGTGTACGTTTTTCATTTCTGACAATTCGGATGCCCTGTATGTGGGGGGTGTTGGGTATATCGATCGATAAGGGAACTCGTTTGAG